AGTAAAGTTAATCCTGCTTAGCTCAAATCCTACTCCAGGATTAGTTTAGTCCGATTAACTCGGACCCGATGCGGTTGAGGGCTCGGACTAGGTTGGAGTAGTTACGCTAATCCGGCCTTAATCCAGCGACCGATGCGGTTGCTCTTAGATGTAGGAAATAGATTTAAAATTTTCAAAAAATGTTTGAACTTGAGCCAGTAAAAATTAATTAAAAAAAAACATGAAAAAAACCTGTCCCACACAGTATTCATTACAAATCTTTGGTTTTTATGCAAAACAATTTTTACCATCATTTTAACCATGTCTTGAAGTGTGGGAAATAAATTTAAAAAGTGAAAAAAGAATGAAAATTAAGCTGTAAAAATTTAAGTGAAAAAAGTGTCTAATTTCAGTATTCCAAGTGAACCGTTGAGTTTTAAAAATTTGAATTGCGCGATTAAATTCTGCATGTTTTAAAACCTAGGAAATAATTTTAAAACCTCAAAAAAACTTAAGAAATAAAGTACATACATGCATGCAAACAATTAATGGAAAAAATGATTGGAAAAAAAAAATCAAGAATCAAAAGTCATTTTTATGCAAAATGGACTTTACCATTAAATTCTAGGGCATTAATAAAAAAACGCGGTTTTTCCGCGTTTAGACGCGGTTTTGCTGCGGCACAGCGCACGCGGTTTCCGCGTTTAGACGCAGTTTTTTAATTAATTTTTTTTTGCCATTAATTTCAAGTTTTTTTTAATTTTTTAAAATTGTTTCCTAGGTTATAAAATGCGTAGAATTTAATGGTAAAGTCCATTTTCCATAAAAATGACTTTTGATTATTAATTTTTTTTTTCACTCATTTTTTCCATTAATTGTATGCATTACTTTTTTACCTTATTTTTCAAGTTTTTTTGTAATTTTAAATTTATTTCCTAGGTTTTAATGTGAGTATAATTTAATGGTGTAATCCAATTTTTTTAAAACTCAGCGGTTCATTTTTAATACTGAAATTAGACACATTTTTTCACTTAAATTTCTACAGGTTAATTTTCATTCTTTTTTGACATTTCAAATTTTTTTCCTACACTTTAAGACATGTATAAAGTAATGGTAAAAATTATTTTGCATCAAAATGAGAACTACATCTTGTATACTGCATTTGACACCGTTTTTGTATTTAATCCTTTATTTCCTAGGTTTAAATACAATAAAAAGAGAATTTGATTCAAATGTCTCCCAAAAATTAAAAAAAACTCCAAAAAAAGAACACTCCCAATCATCGGACAGAGATACACCAATCATTTCTCCAGATTCCCATGCACAAGGCAGACTCTAGTCAAGATTATGATCAGCCTGGACACCACGACACTATCCAACGAGGTGATGCCAGCCAGCTAGTTTATGAATAAAACTTGGTACAAAGATACCATTTTGGGAATACTTCTACTTCCAAGCGCTGTCACAGGTTCAAGCCCCATTGAAGTCATTTTTGAATTTTTGAATTTATATTTGTATTCAAGATATAGTTTTCATTTTTATGCAAAGTGATTGTTACCATCATTTTGAACATGTCTCAAAGTGTGGGAAAAAATTTAGAATGTCAAAAAATAATGAAAATTAAGCTCTTAAAAATCAATTGAATTTTAAGACCAATTACAGTATTCTGAATGAACCATTGAGTTTTATGGAAATTAAATATTACCATTAAATTCTAAACACTTTTAAATGTAGGAAACAACTTTAAAATTTCAAAAAAGCATAAAAAAAAGGTATAAAAATTAATGCAAACCATTAAGTGAAAAAAGTGAGGAATTAAGTGAAACAACGGTGTCAAATGCAGTATACAAGATGTAGTTCTCATTTTGATGCAAAATAATTTTTACCATTACTTTATACATGTCTTAAAGTGTAGGAAAAAAATTTGAAATGTCAAAAAAGAATGAAAATTAACCTGTAGAAATTTAAGTGAAAAAATGTGTCTAATTTCAGTATTAAAAATGAAGCGTTGAGTTTTAAAAAAAATTGGATTACACCATTAAATTCTACTCACATTAAAACCTAGGAAATAAATTTAAAATTACAAAAAAAACTTGAAAAATAAGGTAAAAAAAGTAATGCATACAATTAATGGAAAAAATGAGTGAAAAAAAAAAATTAGTAATCAAAAGTCATTTTTATGGAAAATGGACTTTACCATTAAATTCTAAGCATTTTATAACCTAGGAAACAATTTTAAAAAATCCAAAAAAAACTTGAAATTAATGGCAAAAAAAATTAATTAAAAAACCGCGTCTAAACGCGGAAACCGCGTGCGCTGTGCCGCAGCAAAACCGCGTCTAAACGCGGAAAAACCGCGTTTTTTTATTAATGCCCAAATTCTACATGTTTTTTAGTGTAGGAAACAATTTTAAAAAATAAAAAAAAATCAAAATTAATGGCAAAAAAAAATTAATTAATAAACGCGCGTTTAAACGCGGAATGCGCGTGTGCTGCGGCGCGGCAAAAGCGCGTCAAAACGCGGAAAATGCGGGTTTTTTTATTAAGGCCCTTTTTTTTCCACTCATTTTTTCTATTAATTGTTTACATGCACGTTTCTACCTCATTTTTTATGCTTTTTTGAAATTTGAAATTTATTTCCTAGGTTTCAATGTGTGTAGAATTTAATGGTGTAATCCAAATGTTTCAAAACTCAATGGTTCATTTTTAATACTGAAATTTGACATTTTTTTCACTTAAATTTCTACAGGTTAATTTTCATTATTTTTCGACGTTTTAAAATTTTCTCCTACACTTTGAGACATGTAAGAAATTATGGTAACAACCATTTTTCCCCAAAATGAAAACTATACCTTGAATGCTGCATTTGACACATTTTTTTTAATTAATCCTTCACGTTTTCACTTAATTGTTTGCATACATGTGTGTACCTTATTTTCTATGCTTTTTTGAAATTTTAAAGTTTTTTTCCTACATTTAAAAGTGTGTAGAATTTAATGGTAATATTCAATTTCCATAAAACTCAATGGTTCATTCTGAATACTGTGATTAGTCATATTTTTCAATGGATTTTTAACAGCTTAATTTTCATTATTTTTTGACATTTTAAATTTGTTTCCTACACTTTCAGACATGTTCAAAATGATGGTAACAATAATTTTGCATAAAAACCAAAGATTGTTATTGAATACTGTGTTGGACATATTTTTTGAATTAATTCTTACACGCTTATTACCCTTATTTTTTGGAATTTTAAGCTCATTTCCTACACTTTGAAATGTTTCAAAGTTGATGGCCGTATCCATTTTGCATTCAAATACAATTTGCATACAGTACAAATTATGCAAGAAACGGGGTACACTCACGTATTATAATTGAAGCTTGTATTTTTATGGAAATTGGAATTCACCATTCAATTCTACACATCTATAAATGTAGGAAATGAATTTAAAATTTTGAAAAATGATTAAAATCCAGCCGGTAAAAACCAATCAAAAAAACATTAAAAAAAAACATGTCCAACACAGTATTCAATAACAGTATTTGGATTTTATGCAAAATGATTATTACCATCATTTTACTCATGTCTTAAAGTGTGGGAAATAAATTTAAAATGTCAAACAATAATGAAAATTAAGCTGTAGAAATTTAAGTGAAAAAAATGTCAAATTTCAGTATTAAAAATGAACCGTTGAGTTTTAAAAAATTTGGCTTAAACCATCAAATTCTACATGTATTGAAACCTAGGAAGTAAATTTAAAATTTCAAAAAAGCATAAAAAATAAGGTACAAACATGCAAGCACACAATTAATAGAAAAAATGAGTGGAAAAAAAAATTAATAATTAAAACTCATTTTTATGGAAAATGGACTTCACCATTAAACCCTACGCATTTTTTAACCTAGGAAACAATTTTAAAAACTTGAAAAAAATTAAAATTAATGGCAAAAATAAATTAATTAAAAATGCGGGTTTAAACACGGAATGCGCGTGTGCTGTGCCGCAGCAAAAGCGCGTCAAAACGCGGCAAATGCGGGTTTTTTTATTAAGGCCCTATTGGAAAATGTACTTTACCATTAAATTCTACATGTTTTTTAGTGTAGGAAACAATTTTAAAAAATCAAAAAAAAAAAAATTAAAAGGGTCTTAGTTAAACGACTCCCAAATATTGGAGTTCCAACTCCCAAATATTTGGGACGTTGAGAGGACTGGCTGCGGATGGTCCTCTTGACGTCGACCCCCCTATATTTTTTTTCCCCGAAAATTTGGGAGTCGGACCTCCAAAGGGTCCGACTATTTTGGGGGTCGGAAATCCAAAAAAAATAAATAAAAAAAAATAAAAAAAAAAGAAATCCCCCGGGGGGAATTGGGAGTCGTTCCTCCAAGAAATGGGAGTCGGAACGACACCGAATAAAAATATATGTATATACATAAAAAAAAACTTTAAATATATAATCCACCTCGGGGCCACGGCAGTCGATATCCGACTGCCTCCCACCCACGCCCGCGACTCCCAGACTCCCTCCCTCCCCTCCCTAGCGAAAGTGAACGAAACAATTGATCCGACCGTTAGTGAAGCGTACCAGGACTTACCAGGACCATCAGGAACACCCCAGACCTACCAAAACCACCAGTAGCCCTCCCAGAACCCCCAAAACAACCCAACCACCCCCCCAAACAACCACCACCAGGCCGGACTAGACCCCCAAACTCACACAGAGGCCGAGGTCAGCATCCTCATGAGAGCTAGCTAACCAACTCGATCGTAATCCCAGCGCCATATGCATCACTGGAGACTCCACTTGAGCGCATTTTGGATCTTCTTACACTACTACTATGATTCATCCATTGATCATTTGCTGTATTCCCAAACCAGCTTAATTGCCCTTACTTGTAAGTTCGATACTTTGAGAAATTGAGCATTGAGATTTGTCTTACCCCCAAAAGCTTCATCCCAGCATGACTCCACGACCATTTGTTTTTCCGAACTCCTTAAACAGATCTTTAATAAGCCCGAAAAATGTCAAGCAACGGAGAATTCCCTTATCAGGTTTGTGGCCGGGGGTTCCTC